AAAAATAAACACATATATTGAATATAATACAAACTTCAAATGGATTTTAAATGATAAAAGTATAGGATATTTTGTGGGCATACCATGCTTTATCATCATCTTGATGCTCAGGAGTTTGTCAGTAACTGTTTTCTGCTATAGCTGGTACTTCAGTGGAAAAGTCTGAGATTCACTGTCCTACATCATTTGTTTCTTTATTTTCATTCATTTAATGATTATTATTTGAGGACCAGACATTTATGCTAGGTTGGTGCTACATAAAAGATACAACGATAGGAATACGGATAAGTACTATAATGAAGATGGGAGAAGGATCCCAGTATCAGTTTAGGAAGAGTCAGGACAAGCTTCACAGAAGGTAGTATCTGAACTAACTTGCTAGATGAGGAGTCCGATGGTCTGAGAGCAATCTCGTGACTGCCTGGATAGTCTATGCCCCCCCGCCCCCAAAAGGAATCTCAGCAGTAACTCAACATTATTGTAGCATCAAACTGGAAAATGATAATAAAATATATTTTACTGAACACTTACTATATAGCAGGCACTGTGTAAAGTATATTTAATCCTCAAAACCCTATGTGGTAGGTATTATAATTAGCCCCCATTTTACAAATGAGGAAACTGAAGCTTAGAGACGTCAAGTAACCTGCTCAACATAAAACTAGGTAGGGGCAAGCTCATAAACGGCGTTTTCTATACATCATGCAATAGTTTTGGTGTTATCCACCATGCCAGAGTGAAACAAATTACCAATTTCAAGTATATCACAACTAAAGTTATGGAGAATACAAAGGACTGAAAAAGATAATTACAAGTCCAGAGATTTCTGTAGGCTGAATGGTTAAGAAGGCTTTATGCAGAAATTGGGATTGAGCTGGGCTGCAGTAGAGGATGTCCGAGAGAAGGGCCAGACAGAGAACGGACTGTGAACAAAGGCTGCACAAAGTCAGCTTTGAAAAGTCTGTGGAGGCCAATATAGTAGAAAACAGTACAGTCAGAAAAACAGTGATTAAGATGGAAGTCAAAGACAGATCTGGAAGGCCCAATGAGCCAAACAAGGGGCTGGTAGTAGGCAGCCACTCTTGCATTTTTGAGCAGAATGGTGAGCTAAGGATAAGCCCAAGTAGCTCTTATAAGAAAAGAGAGGCTGTGGAGGATGGTCTACAAACAAGATGATGAGGGCCTACATGATCAGGTTATTACATGGCCAGACTGGAACAAAAGGCAGTACTTTGGAAAGCAGAGTATCAGAGTGACGAAGAGTGCAGGCTATGAAATCAGACTAATCTGGGTTCCAACCTGAATTTTTAGAGCCTCAAGTTTACTCATTTAGTAAATGGTAATAATGCCATCTAATTTACTTGATTGTTGTCAGGTTTATATAAAATGATAGATAATGTGTATGAAGTGAACCATTCAAACAACAAAGACAATATCCAGTTCTTCAAACATACTAATGTTCTGCTCACAATGTTGTATCTCAGCTGTACTAAATCATTCCTTTCAACATTCAGAAAAAGCACCAACAGTAACAATTCCTCCTCCATGAAGTCATCTCTGACGAGCCTTTCTGAACTCTCTCTCATTCTGGTCCCTACCATTCATTTCAGTACTTACTCATACATAATTTTGCATAAATGCTTCATGTGTTTTTCTCTCTCATAAAATTAATCATCATAAGGGCCAGAACATGGTGTCATTTCTTTGGTATTATCACAATAAAGATCATACTTAATGAGAAAAGTAAATAAAAAAAGGGTCCTTACCTTTGGTTTTGCTCAAGAGCTCAACTCCCTAATCATCCCGCCTGTTTTATAAGGTGTAACTTGAAATAATACTGGTTTTCAAACCACTTATTAACAGTGAATCCTTTAAATAAAATTGATATATAACATTGCTAAAAGCAAGATGGCTCTGGTTAAAATGAGAGTCAGGCCAAAAGTACCAACCTGATGCATTTACAAGGAATCCCTAATCTATCTGGAAGTAGTTTGAAAACCTATGGAGTTGTAAATAGAGCCATTGTCAGAGGACCCCAAACTCTGACACTAACAAGGCTACCTAATTAATTTGACCCCTTCCCTCCACCTGCTTTCCAATCCAAAAGGCCCTCTAGTTACTACTCCCTAGACAGGGAAGTCCTAGGAAATGTCTTGAATTCAGAGGAAGAATTTTTTAAAACCAAAGTTCCTGGGCGATGCTCATACCGAGAGTTCACATCTTGCTGGAGACATGTTATTTCCCCTTTTTCTTTTCTTTTCTTTTTTAAGTCACATGAGGATCTTATAATTTTTCTTTAAAGATTTTATTTATTTATTTTTAGTCAGAGGGGAAGAGAGGGGGAAAGAGAAGGAGAGAAAAATTAATGTGTGGTTGCCTCTTATGCACCCCTTACTGGGGACCTGGCCTGCAACCCACGCATGTGCCTGGACTGGGAATCGAACCAGCGACCCTTTGGTTCTCAGGCTAGAGCTCAATCTACTGAACTACACCAACCAGGGCCCCCTTTTTCTTTTAAGAAGCATCAAACTCCTGAAAGCAAAGTTAAAATAATGCCAGGAACAATTAGAAAGAAGCTGGGACAAAAAGGCATTCTAAGTGCTTGTTAAAATTCTGTAAAGAACAGTCCTTACAGGAAGCTTCCTTATATTCATCATTAATATAAAATGATTGTACAAAAATTCTATCAACACTAAGACTTGTCTTTTTGTCGCTAAAATAGATCCAGAGAAGAGCAATGGGCTTAGTGTAGGCACTTGAATCAGAAATGAATTAGAATTTTTCAGCATTCAGCACCAACAGGAAGGAGTCATTTAGGCCTGAGATAAGTAAAAACAGAAGTTGCCATAGTAACCTGCACATTTACCCTAAAAAGGCCAGACTGGGGATGAGAGGCGGGGAAGTAGGTCAATATTTCTGCCTAACCAGCTCTGGTTCTTGGCTTCCTTTCCTCATCTAAAGCAGCATCCTCCTTCCTCCCCACCCCCAAAGGGAGGAAGAGGGAGAAAACTGGGTGATAGTCATTCCAAAAAGCAAGGGGTGAGGGGGGATCCAAGTAGAGGGCAAGGAGAACCAAGAAGACATCCCGCTGAAAACCTCATGCATGTCCTGGGACTACCCCTGGAAAAACAGTCACTGATGAAGGGCACCAGTGCTAAGAAATTGCTGCTGGGTTACCACATATCAGAAATTGCCATTTTCCCTGTAGCAGTTTAAGTGCACCTAACGAACACTTGGGAATGCATTATTAACAGCTTTCGGTTGGGGCAGTGATGGGGAGGGATGAGTACTCCGGCATGGAAGAAACCAGAGGCTCTCAGCAGAAGGCATTCTTTGATGTTTGAAACTATGAAAAAGGCTCGAGGAGGACCTAAAAGACAGACAGGGAGGGAGGGAAGCTTAAAAGATTCCTTTTCAAAATAGGGTGATTTTGCTAACACAGAAACATAGTGCCCTTTGATACTTTGATTTGACATAGCTACTAACCCCAGAGTGTGACGGCACCTCTGGTCTCTGGGATGATGTGAACAGTGCCAGGGCTCATTATTAGCTCTTCCACCCGTGGTGCCAACAAATGTGGGAAGCAAGTTAAACAGAAAACATTTGGAAACAGGTGCAGTTCCACTGTCCTGCAGCTGTTAGTGTCTGCATAGAAATAACCCAGGCCATTACTAATGATTTTAACAATCTGGAGTGAAAGCAGTGGTATTCTAGAATATGACAGAAAAAGGAGCAAGGTCCCAAAAGCAAAAACATCCTGTTAACCAGTGACTATTTCAAACTCTAACCTCTAGAAACCTTACTGCAGTCATTGTATGGAGAAGGCGGGTCTAGGCTCCATGGGACAGGCCATTCAAGCTTTACTGGGAAACTTATTTAAACTCAGCAGCACATCTAGTTGCAGAATATCTGGAAGGACAGTTTCAAATTCAACCTCATGTGCTCAGAAACATCTGCAAATTGCTCCCTTCTACATCTGCATGTGTCTCTATTCCTCTGCCCTATGAGAGGCAGGAAAGCAGCTCACAGATACAGCAACATTTAAGATGACTTTAGAGACAGCGAGTAGACAAGACTTTTGGAGAGGAGCACTGAGAATGACCCTATTCTATGGGCAAGGGTCTAGAGACCTAAAGGATTGGGTACTAGGCCTCCATCAATACTATGGGCAGGAGGAGCACAGACAGAGCAAAGTGTGCCTTAAGGGGGGAAACTACAGAGAACAGTCAATCACTTTTATGAGGGAAGTGTGAGAACAAACAGATGCTATTCTATTTTGACTTTTCAGTATAGCCCAGAAAATTTTATTCAGTCACATCAGTTCCTAAGTCTTTTCCCTTTACATATAGCAACACAGAGGACAAGGAGAAGTTTGTGGAACAAATCATTTTTTAAACTGTCCTATTACAGAAAATGTTCAAGCTCAAGCACACACAAAACAGAACAAAACAGGAAAATGACCTATCACCCAGCTTAAAAAACTTATCAATACTCTAGAGCTAATCTTAAAGCCAACATAGGGATCATTCTAGGGAAGGGCTCAAAGTGTTACACATCAAAAGCCTGCAAACCCAAATGGCAAACTTCTGTATACAACCAGGAACCCCAGGAGATAGCTATTCTAGGAAAGCAGCAGTGGGCAAAGAAAAACAAACAGACTTCCATTTCAATTCTTGAGGCATGTCCAACAGAATACTTATACCCACAAGGTGTTTCTATGTAAGTTATATTATCTGAATTTTTAATTCCTAAAAGATGCGTTTCCAATTCATTTATGTTTGCTGAGCAAGAATCACTGTGTTGCTCCAGCTTATGAGAAAGGCCCCACGGTTACCACAGTCATCCTCCCAGGACTGTGTCTTATTTACAACCACTTTACATTTTGATGCAAGCACTTGGAGCATTTGGATACAGGATAGTAGAAATTTAGTTCATTTATGACCTACTAAAACCCACCATATGCTGGCATTTGGAGAAGCTGAAGCAAGGTCTCTACTTACTGGTACTGTTACATCATGATAAAAACTCCAAGCTAAGGCCCATCTCATTGTCCGACCTTGACAGAATTCAGTGTAGGTGACTTTAGGAACCTGAAACCAGCAAGCACAGAATCTTATCAAATTGAAGACATTCTACCAATATGTTTAGCTGCTGCCTCATGTGAAATTGTGTTGGTCTTTCTTTTTATCAGTTAACAAACAGTACTATCCAAAAAGAATTATGCACAGCTGCCTAAAATCAATGAATAAATTATCTCAACAAAGTTATGGGTGTTTTTTTCCCCCTTCCTATAAAGCATTAGAGATAATTTATAGTTCTGGCTTGAGATCCAAATATATGAAACACCCAAAACACAGCTCTTCAAAGAATCATTAGTAAAACGATTTGAATGGTTTTTTGTTTTCTTTTTCTAAGAACGAGAGCTACCAAATGGCTAAACCCAGCTCTGTGCTCTCCCTTTTGTCTATGAGATTTTAGGAAAGAAAAAAACTATTTTGTAGCTATTCTAATTTTAACAAAGAAAAGGTATGGTAGGAAACATAAGATAAATAGAATGTCAGAGAGAAACCCGAAATCAGAAATTTGGCTTCTACCACTGACCCTGCATTTGATCTCTTTCTCTGAAAAGCTATCCTGCTCAGGCTTAGTCATGCAAAAACACCATAGACTGAAAGGGGCAATGGGAGCGGCAGGGAAGTATTTATTTGCCGCCTGCTTTTCGAAACTGAATCAAGGGGCTGAACCTGTATGGAATGTACCATAGAGGGAAACAAACTATACTGAGAATCGTTCTAGTTCTAGCTATTCTTTTGAAAACTGGACACATAACTTAGAACAAGTCTCTTAACTTACATAGCCTTGAGTTTCTACAATTATAAAGGAGTCAGATGTGAGGTCAGTAGGAGGCAGACAACAACCTTTTTGATTTCTGGGTTCTCTGACATTCTACTCATCCTGTTTTCCTACCTTTTCTCTGTTATAATTGTCAAAAAAAAGGCCTTATTTAAATAATTTATGAAAAGACCCTTTTCGCCCAAAGATTACAAAATAAAAAAGATTTAAAAAACCCAATTTAAAGTATAAAAGAAAATTCTATATTCCAACTACCACTAAAAGTAGGCACACAAGAACAGAAATAACAAAGGCTTACCCTTTGTATACGAAGTTCTTCCTTCAGAGGAGCAAGGCTGCATTTCTTTCCCAGCATACAGCTATACCACCTAGGTGGGAAATCAGACAAGTAAAACACTGTTCGTGTGGTTACATGTTTAAAAAATTGATTTGAGAGAGAGAGAGAGGGAGAGAGAGGGAGGCAGGGAGAGACAGGGAGGGAAACAGTGATTTTGATGTTCTATTTATTTATGCATTCATTGGTTGCCTCTTGTATGTGTCCTGACCGAAGATCAAACGAACAACCTTGGCATACGAGACACCGCTCCAATCTAGTAGGCCAGGACTATGTGGCTACATTTTTACATTAAGCATTATTCAAGTGAACAAGATAAGAACAGTAGTAAACAAATGCTGAATTAAGTTACACCTGACAATAATAAGAATTGTATACAATGTACCTAGACAAAGAACAACTCTAGCCAAGGAAAATAAACCCAAAGCAATTTAAAAAAGAAAAATCCACTTAGCCTCTCCAATGACTCAGGGCTGATATATTATGGTAAAGAGAGTGAAAGAGTGAGAGGTCTCACCTGTGATGCTCAGACTACAGGCCATTTAGCCTAAGGACAGAAATTAGTTAATAAATAACAATAAAAACATATATACCTGAAACTAATATAATGTGTTGCAACTGAACCTCAACAACAAAAAAAGTACTATATAAACACCCTTTCTCCATATTAAAAAAAATGATAAAGTCTAGTATAAACCTGTATTTTCAGATGCCCTCACCTGTAAATAATTTAAGGATATATATTAGAGTTTCAACAGAACATTAAATCAATTTCTTCTACAATATATACAAATTCAGATGAGGAAATGCAGAGAAGATGGAGTGAATTGGTTAAAAAGTAAAAGAATTTATGTCTTCCAATCACTCTAAAAAGTTTGAAAAGTATACACATTATACAGGACTTCTCTTTAGTCTATAAAGGATTAACTACTATGGGAATTTCCCTTTCATCATAAACAACTAGGAACTGGACAAAGTATATGAAAAAATTGTTATTCAGACACTGGACAACTGAAGATCTATGATCTCAGAGAGAGAAACAAACAAGGGGAGTCCTACAATTGCCAGAGCTTGTTGCCTGAAGGAAATTTCCAAGCTGCAATGCAGGGAAAGAAAACTCCAACAGAGCTGTGTAATCTCACTGAATTGATGAGTTAGATATTGGAGTTCTGAGAGGACAAAGCAGTAAGTATTTGAAGAGCAAAATACAAAAGAAGGAGCTGCACAGACAGAATTCTGGGTATCTGGAGAAGAGTTCCCTGGAATATTCTGCAGAATAAATAATTATGTGGGGTGGAACTCCAGAGGCTAGGGAAAGTACTCTCAGACAGCAGTAAACTGAACAATTCCTGGACTCTAGGGAGAGCTGGGATTAATCTGTGGTTCTACTAGGGAGAGCAGAAAGCCCCTGTTAATAAAAGGGGTATATATCTAGCAGAGTTCTGGAAAGCATAGCATACTGTTTTGTAATGGGGCTTGAAGCTATCTGTATGTCCGCTACTGAAGCTCAAAAGCAAGACTCTAAAGGATCAAACTGATCACAAGTTAAGAAAGCATCAGAACAAAGTCCAACACTCTTTTAAAGAAATAACAATGAATCGCAGCATCCCAAAATATAAGATTTGCAATGTATAGGATCCAAAAAAATTACCAGTCTTTTAAAGAAGTAGTAAAATAACTCAGAGCCAGGATTTAAAAATCAATCATTAGAAATAGATCAAGACTTGATTTAGCAAAATACCCTTTAGGTTCATCCATGTTGTTGCCAGCAAGATTTCATTCTTTTTTACAGCTGAGTAATATTCCATTCTATATATACATATAACCCACATCTTTATTTTGCATATCAAAGGCATGCTCAAGATGGGCCCTTTGCCATCTCTAAAAACTGGCTAGTCCGGGGGAGGGGCAGTCTCTCTCTAACCAGAAAGATTTTCAAGGCGTCAAAACATAATATATAGAAAATGGAAAATAATTACAATGCAAAGACAGGCACAAAAGTCTACATTCTGTATGATCCCACTTATATGAAAGTCTAGAACAGGCAAAAACTATCTGACAGAATGACCAGTGGTCACTGGAGGCTGAAATGGGTGAGGACAGACTGCAAAGGGGGCACTAGGGAACTTTTTAGTGATGGAAATGTTCCATAACTGGATTGTGGTGGTAGTTACATACACATTTGTCAAAATTCATCCATTGTACACTTAAAATTGGAGAATTTTACTGTATACAAGTTATATCTCAATAAAACATTTAAACATAAATTTCTAAATGTGGTATCTTATACCTTCAAATATACATAAAGAATAGTTAATATAGTAATGTTTCACATATTTCTCTCATTTATAACAACTTAGTTATGCTAGCAATATGTACTGTATCCTGCATTTTTTCAAATTATCACAATTATTCCTATGTCAGTTGAATTTTATCTAATTGCACATTATTTTTTAAACTTTTTTATTTATTGATTTTAGAGAGGGAGAGCGGGAGGGGGAGAGAGCTAGAGAGAGAAATATGAATTTATTGTTCCATTTACTTACGTATTCATTGTTTGATTCTTTTTTTTAAGGTAGTACGGTAATCATAGATTTTTTTGCATTTTATTTATTTATTTTTAGAGAAGGGAAGGGGGGGAGAAAGAGAGGGAGAGAAACATCAATGTGTTGTTGCATCTCAAGTGCCCAGTACTGGGGGCCTGGTCTGCAATCTAGGCATGTGCCCTGAATGGGAATCAAACCAGCGACCCTTTGGTTTGCAGGCCCACACTCAATCTACTGAGCCACATGAGCCAGGGCTCATTATTTGATTCTTGTATGTGCCCTGACTGGGGATGAAACCCACAATCTTGGTATATCAGAATGATGCTCTAACCAACTGAGATCCAGCCAGAGCTAATTGCACATTATTATTATTATTATTATTATTATTATTATTATTTTAATTCTCACCTGAGGTTATTTCCATTGATTTTAGAGAGACAGAAACATCAATGTGAGAGAGCAACATCAATCTGTTGCCTCTCATACCCACTCTGACTGGGGAATCAAACCCACAACCTATGTATCAGGGGCGACCCCAAAAAACCTGGTATCTTCTAGAGGGTGTGCCACTTGCAGTACAGGCTATCCCCACTAGGTGAGTGTTCTAGGAACTCACCTCCATCAGTGGTCCATTGTTGTGAGAGGCTGTGTTCAGCTTCAGTGAATTGTTTTGAAGACTCTTTCAACACATTTACCCATTTCATGATGGGGGATTTACAGGCATACCTGCCTGCCACACCGTGCTGAGTGTTACCAGTTTTTGACTAAAAATGGCATGATCCTTGTGCCCCACCCTCCCTTTTCACCCAATCTTGCCTCAAGAGGCTTTTTTTGTTTCCCTGGATGAAAAAAGTCCTCAAAGGGAAATATTTTTGCTGCTGTGGAAGAGGTGAAACAAAAAATGGCAGAAACACTAATAGGCATCAAAATCAACGAGTTCAAAAACTGTTTTGAGCAGTGGGAAACAAGTCTCAATAGGTGTATTGCATCAAATGGAGTACTCTGACGGTGACTAAAGTTTAAACATGTTAGAATAAATACACAATTCTTTATAAATTTCAGGATTTTTTGGGTCATCTCTCGTATGTGCCCTGACGAGGAACCAAGCCCACAATCTTCTGGTATGCAGGGGCAATGCTCAGACCGTTTGAGCCATCTGGCTAGGGCGCACATTATTTTTAAAGAGAAATTACAGATTAAGGAGATATACTATTATACTGCTTTAGAAATAGAGTTTACTAATAAATATTTTGTTTTCATTGTTTGTGGGTTCAAGTACAGGTGACTGGCCCTATTTTTGTGTCATCAATCTCTTTTCCCTTTGAAAATATGAAGAAATACTTGTTCTACATAAACCACTTTAAACAAACCTGGGTGAATTAACCTAGAGCATAATCAACTTCATTTAGTGGTTTTAAAATGTTTGGAAGAAAAACAATATGTTCCCTTTAAGAAGACAGTGTATATAAATGGAGAATTAAAAGGAATGTAAAAGCCTTTAAAGAAATTAAGAGCAATTTTCCCTGGCTGGTGTGGTTCAGTGGATTGAACATCAGCCTGCAAACTGAGAGGACACCAGTTTGATTCTTGGTCAGGACACCTGACTGGAGTGCGGGTCAGGTCCCCTGTTGGGGGCATGTGAGAAGTAGCTGGTTGACGTTTTTCTCCCTCTCTCCCTCCCTTCCTCTCTCTCTAAAAATAAGTAAAATCTTAAAAAAAAAAAAAAAAAAGGCAATTAGTGCTCACATAGTAACCTATAAAATAGGTTAATTAACACCTTTCTTTTAAAATTAACATTCCTGAACAGATTAGGTCATAGTCACCAGAAGCCACCGAAATAGCCCACAACAGAGACCAAAAAAAAAAAAAAAAAAAAAAACAAAAAAAAAACTATTTAGTCCCTCAGGAGATGAAGAAAAGCAAATGTTTAGATAAGTAAGTCTTGTAATGGTTAAATATGTCATTGGTACTTTATATAAGCTTGGGAGAGTTCATGTTTCCTTTAAACCCTTGATGTAAGGTGAACATCAATGTATTTAACTGTGTTTTGCAAGTTATATTTTTATAGAAAAGAGCAGAGGTAACTGGTTATACTAAAAATTCTGTGTTCACTTCACTTCTAATAGATCCCAGCTATTCTCAACAGGCATCCTGTGACAACTAATCAAAATGCACGTAGAAAAAAATGATCAAAAAGAAGATCCAGTTACCCAAGAGGCTTTGAACCCATTTTACTATTTTAACGATTAGTATTAACAGCACTCTTCAATTTACAACATTTAGCAATTCCTCTGAAACAACATGTTTCAAGGAAAAGTATTTTGAAATAATTTCGAACATATAGAAGTTGCAAGATTAGTACAAATGATTCTGGAATACTTGTCGTCCAGATTCAACAATTAACATTTTCCTCCATCTCCTTGTTCTCTATGTTTCTTTCTAAACCGTTTGAGACCTAACTAAAAACATCATCATGACCCTTTAATCATAAATATTTTGGCATGTACATTTTAAAGATTTTACTTATTTATTTTTATAGCGAGGGGAAGGGGAGGGTGAAAAAGAGGGAGAGAAATATTGATGTAATGATTGCTTGTCTTTCGTATGCCCCCATCTGGGGACCTGGTCTCTAATCCAGGGATGTGTCCTGATTGGGAATTGAACTGGCAACCTTTCAATTTGCAGGCTGACACTCAATCCACTGAGCTACATCAGCCAGGGCGGCATGTACATGTTAACAACAAGGACATTTTCTTTCATAACCACAGAAATACTATGAAACTGAGAAAATTTAACACTCAAACAATACTATTATCTGGAATACAGTCCAAATTCAAATTTCACTAATTATCCCAATAATGTCTTTCATGACAAGTTTCTCCTCTGATGCAAGACCCAATCTAGGATCACACATATTATTTATATGTAAAGTTTCTTTAGTCTTTCAATCTGAAACAGTTTAGGTCTTTTTTTTTTTTTTTTTTTTACTTTCATGACCTTAGTATTTTTGAAGATCTTACAAAATCCCTTAAGTTGGTTTGTTTAAAGCTTCCTCATAGTTTGACTCAAGTTATATATTTTGGGCACGAAGAGAAGAAAGGTCCTGCGGTGCCCTTCCAGGTCCCTCTTATCAGGAGGTGATCACCTGAACAAGATGGCTTCCCCCAGGTTTCTCCACTGTAAAGTTACCCTGTTTCTCTTTGTGATTATAAGTAGTCTGTGGGGAGATACTTTGAAACTATGTAAATATCCTGTTCCTCTCTAAATTTTCCATTGTTGATTCGTCCATAAATCAATTATTACTATAATGATTGCAAAATGATTTTTCTAACTTTATTATTCCTTCTACATTTATTAGTTGGCATTCTACCATAATGAAGAACATTTCCTTTATCTTCCTTATGCATTTCACTTGCTTATTTTATTTGATAGGTTATGATCCATTATTTTTATTATTCATTCTGAACTCACACTGTCTTATCTTTGGCTTGAGCTGACTCCAATGTTCTTCTGACATTTAACACCATAGAAGGTATTACACAAATATTATAGGCGTACCCTTTTATAAAGGTGAGTCAAAGTTCACAGTAGAACCGGACAATCTTTCAGCTGGGGAATTAACCAAAAGCCCAGTTATAAAATCTGCAGTTGCTCCCTGCAACCAATACTTACAACACTCCTTAACTATACTAGCACCTAGTTTAAAAAACAGAAAGGAAGGAGAAGCTCTACAGTAATGTCCTTGTAATGTTTCCTTTCAATATTGTGGACCTCTACTTTTCAATCTACTGAATTCCTACAATGGCCAAGCGTTAAAATGATCCTATTTATTATTCATTATTATTAATTGTAACAAGTATATATTCATTTAATTCTATGACTACCCTATGAGGTAACTACTGTTATCCCTTTTTACCAACAAGAAAACAAAATTTAAAAGATAAGTCAATGAATCACATTTCCAAAGACCCAGATTATTAAATTTATTGCCCATCACTCACCAAGTATGCAGATTATACCCAAATTCAAGAAGTATCCACCATCTGGCTGGGGGTAGGGAATGAAAGGGAAGAAGCAAAAAGAGGGAGACTGGGTGAAACCAGTATTAAGTTGGAACTCTGTTAGACACAGAGGTTTGATTCCTGGAAAAATAGTAAAATCATTGCCATAAAGAGCATCAGCTATAGACCTACTAAACAATGACAAGAACGGAATTCAGGCCATGGGAAGTTTGATAAAGTCCGCTAATTTACTTAAAAGGTTAAGAGAGTGAGTCTCTAAAAAAGAAAATGCTAGTAAGTAAACTCAAATCACAGGAACAACAAACACCCGCAAGTCACCAACGATAGAAGAGCTGTCTAATAATGTTATGTCAATTACATCAATTATTTTTTAAAGGCTGTCTAACTAGAAGTCTGATTGCAGACTGGGCCCCAGAGACATGGAGTAGAGGAAAGAGCAGAACTGGACCAGAATCAGGACACATGGGTTCCAAGTCTCTAATCTGTAAAACTAAGAGGCTGTACAACTTTACCTCCCAAGGGACTCCCAGCTGCAAAATTCCTAAAGATACAACACAAGACTGCAGTTGCTACAGGTGAGTGCCATCACTGAGATCAGTCTATTTTTAGAGCTTTGAAATACGCAGTTTCCATAGCATTCTAAACTTCTGAGAATTGTGTAGTAGGATAAACATTATGTTAACTATAAAAACATGCAGAGGGACATGAACAGATAATATGCACATGTACAAATGAAAGTTGTCATGATACAATATGAAATTGTAAACAATATTTGCAACACTTTCAAGAAATTCATTCCTCTCAACTTGCCAGAGCAGACAAGACTGCTGAACCCTGTTTTTGTTTTTTTAAATCCTCATCCAAGGATGTTTACTGATTTTAGAGAGAGACACTGATGTGAGAGAGAACAGCAATTGGCTGACTCCCGACCAGGGACTAAACCTGCAACCTAGGATGTGCTCTGACCAGGGATCAAACCCGCAACCCACTGATGCTCAGGATGATACTCCAATGAATGGAGCTACTGGGCCAGTGCTGAATCCAGATTTTAAATCGTTAACTGGGTAAGGTGCCACCAACCTCAAAACAGTCAACTCTAGAGAGATGATAGGCTCTGGCAATTTATCCTTCCTAACAAATGTATACCTTTTATTCAATTTGCGGGCTACGACAGAGCCAGGTACAGGCAGACTTGGAACATATTGACCAACTTCTCTCCCTTAGAATGTTGTTCCTTTACAGAATATTTTTGTAGCTCAAAGGGACTTTGGAAATAACAGAAATTTACTGATTAAAAGCCTCCTGAAAACAATCTTCCCCATTTTCCTGATTAGCACCAGTCCCCTCAAAAAATGACAGGTATTGAAATGGCCCTGATGACCTCCTTGTATGAGTTTCAGGCTCTTTAAGTTTATTTTACTTACTCAGACTCTTCTCAGTGCTCATATTACTTAAAGCCTCTTTTTTCCCTACATACCCTAATGGATCTTAGAATAAACCAATTTAAAACAACAACAATTTATTAATCTTTGGCTTCAACAATGTGTACATTTTCTATGGCAGACTATCCAATAATCCAGTTGCTTCCCACAAATATTTAAATAAACTCATTTAACAAATCAGAATATCTGGTTTTAGAATTGGCCTTTTACTAAAATAAGCAGCATTAAATACCTATAAACCCAAAAGAAAAAGAAAAAAAAAAGTCTCCCTATCCAGCAATTCCACTTCTGTGAAAATACCTAAAAGAATTGAAAGCAGAGTCTTAAGAGATACTTGCATACCCATGTTCGCAGCAACATTATCCACAATAGCCAAAAGATAGAAGCAACCAAAGTGTCCATCAACAGACAAATGGCCATCAACAGACAAATGGGATAAAAAAAAAATATATATGGTATATACATACAGTGGAATATTATTCAGCCTTAAAAAGGAAATTCTGACACACTATAACATGGATGAACCTGAAGACATGATGGCAAGTGAAAGAAGCCAGTCACAAAAGGACAAAAACTACATGATTCCACTTATATAAGGTATAATAGTCAAATTCATAGAGACAAAAAGTAGAATGGTGGTCGTCAGGGTGTGGGGGAAGAGGGGAATGGGACACTGTTGTTTAATGGGTATAGAGTTTTATTTTTCCAAGAAGAAAAGAGTTCTGGAGATTGGCTGCACAGCAATATGAACATACTTAACACTGCTGAACTTCGTACTTTAAAAACAATTAAGGTGGTAAATTTTGTTATGTGTATTTTTTACCTCAATTTTTAAAAAATCTTCTCTGTCTCAAAGCTAAATTCTAGGGTTCAAAACCTTTTAGTTTTGTACTGCATTATCCATCATTTCAACAACTCTTGGCAGGGTGAGAAGTCAAGTGAGGCAAATAGCTCTTTTTGAGTACCTGATGCTGCTTAATAACAGGTGTGTTGCGCAAAATAATTAGCTTTTAACTTAACTTTCCTCTGGAACTGGTTAGTGATCTCAGCTTCCCTTCATTAAGTTCTTGACAGTTCAATTTCCTCACATCTGTCATTGTTTGGGAGACTGATTTCAAGAACATAAATTGCTTCAAGGACTAAGCAACAAATTTTTTCTGCTTCATGGGACAGATTTGAATCCATCTGTTTTCTAATCAAAAGCCATATTTGAATCTGTTTTGTTCCATCACAGTATCGAAATAAAAGTAATACAATCATATGGTATTTTCCTCCTTTCTATCCATGTAGTACAGATGATTACAGGAAACGCAAATCAATTAAAGGCATGAGTGCATCCTCAGAAACAGGGTCTTTGCAGACTGTAGGACCTACTACCTTTTCCATTTTTCTCTGTCTGTTCTTTAGATCACTGTGGTTACATTGACTGTGTGGCATGGTTTCTTTTGTAATTACACAGGGGGTAAATATTCCCATACTGTAATGATCAACTTACCTTAGTCTTTTTTTAAGTTGTAAACTGTCATGGATGATCCTTTTAACAAACTCTAATTCGCCTCCTTCTGCCATGATCTCTGTGATACCTCCTGTATTTACAGAACTAGGTGGAGGTCTTCGAGGATTTCGAGAGTTTACTCCCTGAACAACAACAACGAAAAACCCTGGTGAAAAATTTTACACCTTATGATCAAGTCTTTGACTGTAATCTAGTGCCAAATAAGAATGCTGAGACATAATTTTAGTTTCCAAATATCATTCTGGATTTAGGATTTAAAAATCATATAATCCTTCCAATATTACATTGAAAAAAATGCATTCATGCAAATATTCCTTCCTAGGATCTTTTACCTTACATCTTTGTGGGTAAACATACAGAAATTTTACCTTTTTATGCACCCAATTCTGTCACTTTTTCTTTGTTTTCTGTCTTGGTATCATGTACAGTAAATATTACATCCAAAAATTATATAAATATTTACTTATGTTTTCTACTACCATTGTCACGGTTTTACTTTTAAAATTTAGTCCATTCCTACCTCGCATCATATTTAAAAAAATAATTCAAATGGATCAAAGATCTAAATATAAAAGTTAAAACTATAAAACTCTTAGAAGAAAACATAACAGTAAATTTCATAACCTTAGATCAAGCAATGGTTTTTTTATATATATATATTTTATGTTATTACAGTTGTCCCATTTTTTTTCATCTTTATTCCCCTCCACCCTGCACCAACCCTCCCCCCCAGCATCCTGCCTCCTTAGTTCTTGTCCACTGGTTGTACATGTAAGTTCTTTGGCTTCTCCATTTCCTATACTATTCTTAACCCCTCCCCCCTCCTGTCTATTTTGTACTTACTATTTATGCTGCTTATTCCCTGTACCTTTTCCCCCATTTTTACCCCTCCCTTCCCCTCTGATCTCCATTTCTATGATTCTGTGCCTGTTCTAGTTGTTTGCTTAGTTGTTTTTTTTTAGGTTCAGTTGTTGATAGTTGTGAGTTTGTTGTCCTTTTACTGTTCATAATTTTTGATCTTCTTTTTCTTAGATAAATCCTTTGACATTTCATATAAAAGGGGCTTTGTGATGATGAACTCCTTGAACTTGACCTTCTCTGGGAAGCACTTTATTGACCTTTCCATTCTAAATAATAGCTTTGCTGGATAGAGTAATCTTGGATATAGCCCCTTGCTTTTCATGACTTTGAATACTTCTTGCCAGCCCCATCTTCCCTGCAAGGTTTCTTTTGAGAAATCAGCCGATTGTCTTGTGGGGCACTCCTTCATAAATAACTGTCTCCTTTCCTCTTGTTTCTTTTAAGATTCTCTCCTTGTCTTTAATTTTGGGTAATGTAATTATGATGTGCCTTGGTGGGTGCTTCCGTGGGTCCAACTTCTTTGGGACTCTCTGAGCTTCCTGGATCTCCTGGAAGTCTTGTGTCCTTTGCCAGATTGGGGAAGTTCTCCTTCATTATTTTTCAAGTACGTTTTCAGTTTCTTGATCTTCCTCTTCTCCTTCTGGCACACCTATGATTCGGATGTTGGAACATTTCAAGTTGTCCCAGGGGTTCCTAAGCCTCTGCTCATTTTTTTGAATTCTTGTTTCTTCACTCTGTTCTGGTTGAATGTTCATCTCTTCCCTTCTGCTCCCAATCGTTGATTTGAGTCCCGGTTTCCTTCCCTTTCCTGTTGATTCCCTTTATATTTTTCTTTATTTCACTTTGCATAGCCTTTGTTTTTCCCTCCATTTTGCGATCATACTCAACCATTTCTGTGAGCATCCTGATTACCAGTGTTTTGAACTGTGTATCCGATAGGTTGGCTATCTGTTCACAGGCTAGTTCTGTTTTTGGAGCTTTGATTTGTTCTTTCATTTGGGCCGCATTTCTTTGTCTCAGTGTGTGTGTTAAGTTGGGAGGGGTGGAGCCTTAGGTATTTGCCAGGGTAGGGCAACCCAGGTCACTCCCTTGTAATGCTGTATGTGAGGGAGGGGCCCAAGAGGGAACAATGCCTCTTGCTCAGCTCTTGATAGGTTTTCAGTCACTTCCCTCACTACCCACAAGCGAACTGGGTCCTTCTGGTGCTGATTCCCGGGTAAGGGGTCTCTGTACATTCTAGGATCCTGTGGGTCTCTCCAACAGAACTCTCCTATGAGGCTGGGAGTTTCTCCCGCCTCTGCACCCCCCACTGATTTTTAAAGCCAGAGGTCCGAGGCTTTCTTTTCCCACACTGGAACCCTAGATTGCATGGTTGGTCTCGCTCCCCAGCTGTTCTTCTCAGTACCTGCATGTGAATGTGGGACCACCTGGTCCTCCAGCCACTGCCTTGCAACGCATCCTCTCTGCCCCAGCTGCCTGTCTCCACCCCTCTTACTGGTCAGGATGAATGTTTCTTCTTCAACCCCTTGGTTGTCAGACTTCCATAGAGTTCGATTTTCTGGCAGTTCTGTTTATTTTTTGTTTTTTAATTTGCTGTTGTCCTTTTGGTTGTGCGATGAGGCAAAGTATCAACCTACACCTCCTTCTTGGCCAGGTGGTTTTTTAAATATGACACCAAAAGCATAAGCAACAACAAAAACTATATAAACTGGACTGCATAAAAATTAAAAACTTTTGAACTGCAAAGGACACCATCAAGAAAGTAACAAGACAATCCACAGGATGGGAGAATGTGTTTGCAAATAATATATCTAATGAGAGATGTATCTATAATACACAAAGAATTCTTATAACAATAAAAAGAAAAATAACCCAATTTTTAAAGGGGCAAGGATCCAAATAGGCATTTTTCCAAAGATATACAAATGGCTAATACACACATGTAAAGATTTTCAATATCATTAGCCATCAATGCACATCAAAACTAAAATGAGATACCACATTATCCCCACTAGGATGGCCATAATTAACAAGGATATGAAGAAACTGTAACTCTAATACACTGCTCATGGTAGGATGAAAAATGATGCAGATTCTTTGGAAACCAGTCTGGTAGTTTCTCAAATAATTAAACATAGAGTTATCATATGACCCAGTAATTCCACACTTTCTGTAAAACAAGGGGGTACCCAAAAAACCCCGGAATTTGGTTATAAAAATTATATATTTTTACATGTTTAAACTTTGGTCACCTTCAAAGTACTCTCCCTTAGATGCAATACACCTATCAAGACTTTTTTCCCCTGCTCAAAATAGCTTTTTTTTTTAAAAATTATATTTTATTGATCATATTATTACAGTTGTCCTGATTATTCCCCCTTTGCTCCCCTCCACTGAGCACCATGCCCCCAGGCAATCCCCATACCATTGTTCATGTCCATAGTCATGTGTATAAGTTCTTTGGCTACCCTATTTCCTATATTGTACTTTATATCCCCACGGCTATTCTGTAACTACCTATTTGTACTTCTTAATCCTCTCACCTCTTCATATGTACTCCTCCTTCGCCCTCCCACCTGGCTTCTTCCTCTCCCCCCTCCCACCTGGCAACCTTCCAGTAACTAACTTCTTTTCTCTTGTTTTTAAGAGTCCCTCTTTATCTTTAAACTTTGGCTTTTTAATAATGACATGTCTTGAAGTGGGCCTCTTTGCATTCATTATTGTTAGGACTCTCTGCGCTTCCTGGACTTGCATGTCTATTTCCTTCACCAAATTAGGGAAGTTCAAAACAGGTTTTGAACTCATTGCTTTTGATGCCTTTTAGTGCTTCTGCTGTTTTTTTGTATCACCTTTTCCACATCAACAGAAATGTTTCCCTTTGAGGACTTTTTTCATCCAGGGAAACAAAACGTCTCCTGGGGCAAGACTGGGTAAACAGGAAGGGTGGGACATGAGGGTCATGCCATTTTTGGTCAAAAAATGATGAACACTCAGCACCATGTGGGCAGGTGTGCTTGCAAACCACCCATCATGAAATGGGTAAATGCACTGAAAAAGCCTTCAAGAAAAAAAAACTCACTGAAGCTGAACGCAGCCTCTCGCAACCCCAACTGAACCACTGATAGAGATCGGTTCCTAGACCACTTAGTGGGGTAAGCCTATATTACAAGGGGCCCGCCCTCCAGCAGATAATTCCAGGTTTTTCTGGGTTCCCCCTTGTATAAATCCAAGAGAAATGAAAACATGCCCATACATTGTACACAAATGTTCACAGTAGCATTTTCATGGAAAAAAATGGGAACAACCCAAATGCCATCACCTAATGAATGGATAAGTGAAATGTAGTATTTCCATACAATAAAAAAAATTTGGTAATAAAAAGAAATGAAGTACCAATAGATGCTATAAGATGAATGAACCTTGAATATATGTTATGCTTAGTGAAAAAAGTCAGTCACAAGACATTACATACTGTATGATTCCATTTATATAAAATGTCTGAAACAGGCAAATCCATAGAAACAGTAAGTAAACTGAGACTAATTTGGTATGGATTTTTTTTTGGGGGGTGGGGAGCAGGGGATGATGAAAATGTTCTAAAACTGATTGTGGTGATGGCTGTACAACTCTGTGAATATACTAAAAATAATTAAATTCTGCCTTTTAAGTGGGTGCATTATAAAAAGTTATTTAGTTCTGATGCTGGTAATACATGGTGGGGCAAAAGGAGTTTTACAGCTGTTCATATGGAATATAATACAATAAATAATAATACAAGAATAAATCCTGCGTTTTGGATACTCATAACTAAACCTACTTTTGCCTCACTCTGTATTCTATTTCTTATTTGGATGCTAACTCTGCAGGAGTGTTCACTTTAGAAAATCCACAGCTTACCTTTATGACATGTACTTTCATGTACATATGTTGTATCTCAATATTTAAAAAAAAAGTACTCCAGGTTATATGGCTATTTTAGTTCTTATAATTTATCTGCATCAAAGGTGAAAATTTAGATTTCTTAAATTCTGCTTCTCTTTATGTTCCAACTTAGAATGTTGGTATTGTTAATAAGTTTCTGTCCAACTCCCTGCTCCACCCTCCAACACCAAATTTAATCCATCTAGAGTTTATTTTGTTATGAGGTATGTAAATGGTACTTTTACATTACCTTACTGATTCTAAAAACAATATATTCTTTTAAAGCTTTGAGCATATATACCCTCTTATTTCCTTTTGATTAATATTACTACCTTTCTATTAATAGAGAATTAACCAGATGAAAGAAAATAGTTTAAATCAGTATTTTATAGTACTGAGATTTTTAATAGGTTCTTTGTTTTTCACCCAATGTATCTCTTCCCATATTCATAAGCAAATACATTTTTCATTCAAAGTTGGAAAGACTAAATTGGATACTTGTTTACTCTCAAATGACAGGTGGCAATAAAAACAGTTAACCTCCTCCCTAAGCCAATAAACCCAATATAAGAGTACCCTGTGACCTCAACTGGTCCAATCAGAAGAAACCCAAAAGCTGAATGTTTGGGGGAAGCAAAGAGCTCTGTCCTCACTCTCTCCCCTCCTCAAATATTATTCTGCCACAAGTAAACCAGCCTGAGAGCAAAATCACCCAAGGGCCAGGTCAAAGCCCACAGAAACCTGGAAAACCTGAGCCTCAGTTTTGATACTACTACGAACCCCTTGATCAAATCGTTCCTGAAGTCAAGACTACTGCTAGATTTCTCAGATACATAAGCCAATAAACGTCCTTTCTGGTTATGTCAATCTGAATTGGGTTTTCACGTGCCTGATTACAAAAGCAGCCACATATAGATTCAAAAACAAAAGCTGTTCTTTGCTCTTATTTTTGCAAAGTAAACTTAGATGAATATTCAATTGCTTTTAAGGAAAAGGTATTTTACCTTGGCTTCCAACTGATTGGCAAAAAAGGGAGGATTGCACATGCAAAAGTCATAGACTATCTCAGATTCTTCTTTAAGAGCATCCATCAGGAGTGTTTTCTGTGGTACTTTTACCACTAGGAGAAAAAATAGGAACTGTTAATTACTATAAAAGCTGTGATAGTTTTCAAATATGTCCACAAATTCTTTGACACTAGTCCCTTCAAGAGGTGGAGGCTGACTTCCCTCTCTTTAAGTATAGGCAGTATTCACTGACTCGCTTTTATTGAATAGAATATGATGGAACTGATAGGGTGTCACTTCAGAGGCTAGGCCGTAAAAAGTAATGTGGCTTCTTCTTTGTCCTATCTCGAATTACTTGCTCTAGAAGCCAGCTAACATGCTGTAAGGATGGTCAAGCAGCTCTGAGAAGAGATTCACATGACAATGAACTAAGGCTTCCTGGTAACAGCCATGTAAGTGAGCCATCTTGGAGGCAAGTCTTTTTAAAAGATTTTTACTTATTTATTTTTGGAGAGGGTAGAAGGGAGACAGAAAGAGAGGGAGAGAAACATCAATGTGAGAAATGTCCGTAAGTTGTCTCTCACATGCACCCTGACCAGGGACTGAACTTGCAACCTAGGCTTGTATGCTGACCAGGAATTGAAATTGCGACCTCTTGCTTTGCAGGATGACACTCAAACAACTGAGCCACACCAATCAGGGCGGAAGCAAGTCTTTACTCCTAGTCAATCCTTCAGATGATGGCAACCATGTGGAAAAACTCTGAACCAGAACCACACAGCTAGACCATGCCCAAATTCCTGATGCACTGAAACCATGAGTAATAAATGTCCATTGTTTAAGTCTGCTAGATTTTAGAGTACTTTGTAATACAGGAATGGGTAACTTAAAAAATACATTAATAATATCACTGTCTCCCATTACAATCCTATGTTTAACACTAGCAATAAAAGCCTATTTCTTCCATAAACTTTATGGAGTCTCTTTATAGGATCACTTTAATGAAAAGAAAAACAAAAACAAAAAACCCAGTCCTTTATGTATAACATAAGCACAAAAATAAAAAGTAACTAATTATTAAGGAAATTCAACTATTTGTAACACAGTTCCATGTACTGAAAAAATAATTTTTAAAAAGATGGTATAATTTAATTAGCAGTAGGGTTTTCTTTTAAAATCTTGATGAGTAGGTTACTTCATATACTATTGATCCTATTTGCAGTATATGAATAAATATTTATGTTCTATCAAGTCGTCACAACTACTGAATTAGTAAATACTGAACCATTGGCTCCGAGGAGAAATAAAGGTGGGTTAGGTAACTGCAATCCTCTGGTCCAGCATTTCCATCAACCAATTTTTATACATGCCTCTGTTTAAAGACACTTTATTTAACATACATTGTTGATTCATTAACACAACTCATGGTCAATGGCACTGTAACTCATGTCTGAACAAGGCTTATCTAACATATTTTCTTTGTAAGGCGTATCATGGTCTTCTCGTACTTAGGAACACCAGGTAGCACTTAAGCACTGTATTTAGGAGCCATTTTAAACAGCAAAATCACCAAGAAAAAGCACAGAAGTGCAAAAAAGTAGCACTAAACAGCCCATGGAAAGGACACTTGTTTACAGTATAAGAGCTGAAACAAGAAGGCAGAGCATCATCTTGTTCATCTGTAGCTGGGAACATGCATGCTGGGTGACTCAAGTTTTTTGCCACCCTGCACGTCTACGGATAACGACCAAAGTACCATGAGAATTAATTTTGGGATTAAAAAATGACCCCAAGTAGCCAAATTCACAAATATAGAATCCACAAATTATGAGGATCAACTGTATTTACTCTATTTCTTTCTGAATTAATTCTGATAACAAAAGAGCAAATCCAATTACAATGTACCAGATTTCTTCAATTACCAAAGTTTGCATATTAAAGCAAAAGATGTGTTAAATTAGAAAAATAGGTTAATAAAGAAAGCTTAAAAGGGATATTTATTCTGTAGAACTAACCTTTTATAAGATCAGATAAGTTATTCTGTTCCACATTTTTCTTTGCATAGTTGAAGCACATATCATCTACTTCTGTTGCAAGGAAATACCAGCCATTTAAGGTACTTCCAAGTAAAGGATAGATGCAGGATGCTCCAGTACCTAGTAAAATGAAAATTCAAATCACATTACACATACCTGAGGGAAAGGTGAGAATAACAAGCAAAAACACCATTCTTCTTGTTTTAGAATTCTTACAGCCTTGACAATTTAATTCACAAGCTGGTACCTAATTATGTACATACTGTGGCTACTGCGTTCTCTAGCTGTTTTATGTGTGTTAGTCCTGCCTCATAATTAGATTCAAATTTTCTTAAAAAGATTTTATTTATGTATTTTTAGAGAGGGGAAGAGGGAGGAAGAGAGGGAGAGAAACATCAATGTGTGGTTGCACCTCTCTGGGGACCTGGCCTACAACCCAGGTTCATGCTCTACACTGGGAATAGAACCAGCGACCCCCTGGTTTGCAGGCCAGCACTCAACCGACTTAGCCACACCAGCCAGGACAGATTCAAATTTCTTAGAGGATACAAATCTTGCTGATCCTTTTTGTGTGTTGCATATAAAACAAAGGGTGCATAACTGGCTGGTGATCAAGGAATACAGGACTAATTAACTGAAAATTGTCAAAACAATTTATTTTGATGTATAAAACATTTTAAATTTCACACAAAACTTGGTATTTTTAAAAGAAATCAATGCTAATTGTTAAAACACCACAGTACTCAATTAGATACTCCATTCCCCAAAAGTAGAAAAAATACGTAAGGTATAAAGTTTTTACAATAATGAATCACCCAATTCCACACATAATCTGTGAGTTGTTATTTGAAGGAAACCAGAATTTTAAAAACACTAAAGAGAAAATTCATCTTACATGTGGAGACATGGAAACACATTTGATCCAGATCCAAAACATCATGATATCACTGGCTTGTCCCACCAAAATTTCAAGGGAAACATTCAGAGGCAAATGCTCCAGGCAAAGATCACTCTTTGACAACCAGGGTTTCATCATAATTTGTATGTAGAGCCCCTAACCATGGACTGGATGGACTATATACTAACATCAAATATTGTTTCTACAACCACTGACTAATCTTGGCCAGTAAGACGTTAGAGAAGAAAAGCCAACGTTTCTCCCAAGGGCCTAAGTAGTTAACTCATACGAGCAACTCCAGGCCTGCTTTCCCCTGGTCACATCTTGGTGCAGAAGAGTGGAAGCTAGAGATACTCTTAACCCAGAGAAAACCCAAGCTCATCTTACTGCTTCTTCATTAAGGATTCTGAGTAGTCTAATAAAAGACAGGACAACTGATGGCCAGAACATTTAAGCTCTTTGACAGTCACAGTGATTGCTAAACATTCTATCATGTTTACATTCAGGCCCTGATGCTATTGAACAAACAACGCCGTGAGGATGTGTGACATGGTGAGGGAAAGGATGGTAAAGGGTACTCAAGCTCCTCGCAGAGGCCATAGTTACTTAGCTGCCTGCTAGCCATTCTGGTAAGCCACAGTCACTCAGAACAAGGAGTTTCAAGTAGTACTTTCATCTATGCAGAGACCAAAAAACAAGACAAAAAAAAAAATCCAGACCATATACCAGGCCCTTGATTCTCACATAACTGCTTCTCTCTTCATATTTCAATTTTATTTAAAAGCAATAAATAAATAAATAAATAAATTACACTTTTCTTCAGTTGCCTAATGATAAACACAGGTAAAAGGCCTGTCTTCTGCCAAAAAATTTAAATAGATAAATAAACAAACAAACCAAGTTTCTCAACTCTTTAGACCAAAAGACCTGCCCTCTAAAATTCGAATCCCCTCAGAAAGCTGAATGACATTTTTAAATGGAAAAAAAATTGTAATGATAAATAAAAATGGAAACTGTATAATCATAGAATTAGAGCAAACTGATGAGAGTCTAGGGGAAGACTTTATATAAAACCCTAATTAGAATGAATGTGATTTCAGCACCAGTGCCCTTATGAAGAGCTAAAATCCATTAACCTCCTATATCCCCAAGTGTTATTCTAGAAGGTTTAGGGCATAATTAAAATAAATTAGTACCAAATAGGCTCTCAAGCTTTTTAAGCTTAATATAACCCATCAAGCCAATCTTCTGCCATAAACATAAAAGGGCAAAAGCTTTTGTTAAACCCCAGTATTTTTATATAGTGCTTAGCTTATATGGGATGCTCATTATTTTTAAATGTTGAAAGAAAAAGAATCACATATTTATCAATATTAAACAAATTACTCATTGGATACCTACTATGTGCCAGAACCTTTGTTAGCCCTTGTTAGTAAACAAAAAAGTAAAAGGCTCTGCACTTTGCAATCTAGTGGTAGAGAAATCAACCAAATTAACAGAATGTGTAGTTAAAAACTAAAAAATAATGCCAAGGAAGAAACATGGTTTTCTAAAGTTCATAATCAAGGAACTTATCCTAAAAGGTCAGAGAATGCTTTCCTGATGAAATAAGGCTTGAGTTAAGAACTACTATAAACGACACTATTTAATAAGGTAAAAGTGGGAAGCCCCACATAAGAGGGAGCAACGTGTAAAAAGGCCTGGAGGTATGATGCCTTCACAGACGAACTAAAGAATGCAGAAGAAAAGGAAGAGTAGCACATAAAATGAGGCTTACAGAGGCCTAGAAAAGAGGACAGAAATCAGACAATGAAAATTTTCACAGGCCAAGTAAGGGTTTAGGTGTTTATCACAGAAGCAACAGGAAGTCATTAAAGTGGTAAGGATGTGATCAGATATGGGTTTATACATATTTTCTGAGGAATGGAATAGAGAGGCAACAGAGTCGATGAGAACAGAGTAGCTGAGAAGCTATTCTGTAGACCAAGAGAGATGATGGTGACTTGAACTGAGATGGTGGCAGTAAAGATGGAGAAAAGTAGGTAATTTAATACTTGAGAAAGAAAATCAACAGGGAATGATGATACACATTCTCAGTGAGGATAGGAAGAAGTAAATATCAAGGATAACAGGGTGGGATGTGGTGGATTCACTGAAATAAAAAATAAAGGAAGAGGACCAAGGTTCAAAAGAAAAATAAGAGCCTGGTCTTGGACATGGCAAAGTCTAAAATGTTTTTGAGATAATGAAGTTTATCATGTATACGTGACTAGGAAAGTAATCTCAGTTGGAGAAATATATAAATTTGTAGGTTATTTGCATGGAGGTGGAAAATAGTCATAAAAGTGGATGAAATTGGCTAGCGGTAAGGTGCTGAAAAAGAAAAGGGATGAAGACTGAGCTTTAAGGATTTGAACACCTAATGGCCAGATACAGGAAAGTGAGCCTGAAAAGGTAAGAAGAGAGACTACAAATGAAAGAGGAAAACCAGGAGTCTGGTGCCATGGAAGCCAATGGACGAGAGTGTATAAAGGAGAAAGGAGAGGTCAATAATGAATGCTGCTGAAAAGGTCATGTATGGCTGGGACTGAAAATGCATGCAAATGTCAAAGTTAAACATTTACTACTATCTAAAAATAGTGTTTGCAATTAACTGTACTATATTTAAAAATAAGAGTCACAAAGCTTTTAATTCATTAAAAAATTCATTTTTTTCATAAAGGACTGGTAAAGAGCACAGGGTTAAAAAAAAAACCCATCAAATAAAAATATCAACTATGACAAACATATAGCACATTTATAAATATAAAACATACGCTGGGTTTCTTTCTTTCTGTATATCCACTTACTCTCCTAATAAATTAAGTTAGACAGTCTTCTCCATTGTAGAAGTTTACAATTATGAGAACATACTACTTTTACTCAATGACTTTTCTTCACTCTTTAAAACCCTTTACAAATAATCATCCAAGAGATTCCTGAAAGCATTCAGGCCTACATGATCTTTTATCATATGTCCATCACCACAAAAATCACAATTTGGAGACTACATTACTAATACTAGATAATTCAGAGTAAAAATAATACCCAATATACACAGATATCAACATGGTAATCTGAAGAGCTAAGAAAACAAGAACCTCACTTTCATTTTCCCCCTCTTACCCATTTGCTCTCTATTTGGTGCTGACAACACCTTCTCAAGAGAAATCAATGGCAGAAAAGCCCACTTGTAGTAAATAAAAGCAGTAGTACCTATAGCCAGATTATTTCACAAATACCCAGAAAGGTTTACAAAGAATTTGACCTTGGAAAGTTTATTAAACTTACATTTAGTAAAAAGAATTTAAAACCACATACCTATGTCAATTCCCCTTCGGAGAGTACTTTTATCAGAGGCCTGATGACCAATCAGATCTTCTACCCAATGAATATAGTTGAGTCGCAAGGGAACTGTGGGAATTAGTCTCTCCAATGGAATATCAATAGAAAGTCCAAAATCTTCTTTCAGGAGGGTACAAGTCAGAGCTCTGACTGCCCCAGGGTCTTTAAAATTAAGACTGCAGGGTGGAGAAAAAGAAAAAAAACTGACCAATAAGATTTGCTATGCTGTACAAGCTCTGTGGCAGACAGGCAATACCAAACACCTATTTGAATTTCCTAATTGATGACATACAAATAGTGGTGTAGAGTATTCAGTACAGTGGCATCCACACAAGGGTATTTAACACACTCTCAGGGTACAAACAGTATATAAATTACCACGAAAAACACTGCATTTTCATTCATGAAAGAGAGAGGACAAGAGTGTCTCTATTCCATTCCCATCTGACTGACTCCTTTCCTAGCTATGAGACTTAGGACAGGTTGAACATCATTTCCTCAGCTGCAAAATGGGGATAACAGTACCTATATCATAGTGCTTCTTCTGAGGGATAGTCTGTGAAAAGTACTTACCATAATGCTCAGTACATAGTAACTTTTAGAAATGCTGGCCATTTTTACTACTATCAATTAACATGATTTGACATTAGCATTCTTAGAAAATTAAAAATAGAAGCAGAAAAAATGTTTAACAATGAAAATATGATAAATATAATATTATAAACATCAAATTTAAAATGTGATTTTTAGCAGCTTTACTGAGGTGTAACTTACATACTATGAAATTCACCTACAGTAAACAATTAGTAGTGTTTAGTATATTCAGAGTTGTGCGACCATCACCACAATCCAATTTTAGAACACGTCCATCAACCCAAAAGAAACCCTATGCCTATGTGCAAGTCATTCCTTGTTCCTATTCTCAGCTCTAGGCAACCACTGAAGTACTTTGTATCCATAGATCTGCCTTTTGTTGACACTTCATATAAATGAAATCACACAATACATGTTCTTTTTCCTGGATTTCTTCACTTAGCAGTGATTTTCAACTTTTTTCATTTCATGACATACATAAACTAATTACAAAAATTCTGCAGCATTCCAAAAATATAGGGTTGGCCAAAAATTTCATTTAGTTTTTTCCCCACAATGGCTTTAGTAGCACTTAGTTGTCTTTAACTTCAAAACAATTTTGTAAGATTGTATTCTGACAGCAGTCATGTGAGCATGCACTTTTTAAAAAGCTTATCAAAATTTTTCTGCAACCATTTTAGTATTGAAGATAGGAGAAAATATGCAACATATTCGCATATCAGGCTTTATTATTTCAAGAAAGGTAAAAATGCAACTGAAATACAAGAGATTTTTGCAGTATACTGAAAAGGTAGTGCGACTGATTAAATGTGCCAAAGTGGTTTGCAAAGTTTCTTGGTACTGATGACATTTTGGCCAAATAATTCTTTGTTGTGGGACTGCCTTTTGGTTTTTTTAATACATATTTTATTAATGCCATTACAGTTGTGCCATCTTTTCTTCCCTTTATTTCCCTCCACCCTGCACTGGCCTGCCCCCTAGTGGTCCCCTTCACCTTAGTTCATGTCCATGGGTTGTACATGTAAATTCTTTGGCTTCTCCATTTCCTATACTATTCTTAATCCCGCCCCCCTTTTTTGTACCTATTATTTATGCTGCTTATTCCCTGTACCTTTCCACCCATTCTTCCCCCTCCCCCTCCAATCTCCATTTTCGTGATTCTTTTCCTGTTTTAGTTGTTTGCTTAGTTTGTTTTTGTTTTAGGTTCAGTTGTTGATAATTGTGAGGTTGTCATTTTACTGTTCATAATTTTTTATCTTCTTTTTCTTAGGTAAGTCCCTTTGACATTTCGTATGAAAGGAGCTTGGTGATGGTAAACTCCTTGAACTTGACCTTCTCTGGGAAGCACTTTATCGACCCTTCCATTCTAAATGATAGCTTTGCTGGATAGAGTAATCTTGGATATAGCCCCTTGCTTTTCATGACTTTGAATACTTCTTGCCAGCCCCATCTTCCCTGCAAGGTTTCTTGTGAGAAATCAGCTGGTAGTCTTGTGGGCACTCCTTTGTAAATAACTGTCTCCTTTCCTCTTGTTTCTTTTAAGATTCTCTCCTTGTCTTTAATTTTGGGTAATGTAATTATGATGTGCCTTGGTGGGTGCTTCCGTGGGTCCAACTTCTTTGGGACTCTCTGAGCTTCCTGGATCTCCTGGAAGCCTTGTGTCCTTTGCCAGATTGGGGAAGTTCTCCTTCATTATTTTTCAAGTACGTTTTCAGTTTCTTGATCTTCCTCTTCTCCTTCTGGCATACCTATGATTCGGATGTGGAACGTTTCGCCCAGGGGTTCCTAAGCCTCTGCTCATTTTTTTGAATTCTTGTTTCTTCACTCTGTTCTGGTTGAATGTTCATCTCTTCCCTTCTGCTCTCAATTGTTGATCTGCGTCCCGGTTTCCTTCCCTTTCCTGTTGATTCCCTTTATATTTTTCTTTATTTCACTTTGCATAGCCTTCACTTTTCCTCCATTTTGCAACCATACTCAACCACTTCTGTGAGCGTCCTGATTACCAGTGTTTTGAACTGTGTATCCGATAGGTTGGCTATCTGTTCACAGGCTAGTTCTGTTTTTGGAGCTTTGGTTTGTTCTTTCTTTTGCGCCGCATTTCTTTGTCTCAAGCATGTGTGTTAAGTTGGGAGGGGCGGAGCCTTAGGTATTTGCCAGGGTGGGGCAACCCAGGCTGTTGCCTTGTGACACTGTATGAGGGGAGAGGTCTGAGAGGGAACAATGCTGCTTGCTCAGCCCTTGGCCTGCTTTCTGTCACTTCCCCCGCTACCACAAGCAAATTGGGCCCTTCTGGTGCTGATTCCTGGGTGAGTGGGTTTGTGTATGTTCTAGGACCGTGTGGGTCCCTCCAACAAACTCTCTTGTTAGGCTGGGAATTACTCCTGCCGCTGCAACTCCCACAGATTTTTACAGCCAGAGGTTTTGGGGCCTTCTTTTCCCATGCTGGAACCCTGCACTGCATGATCTGTTTTGCTCTCCGGCTGTTCCTCCAGTTTATCCACACACAAATATGGGAACACCTGGTCTTCCAGCTCCCGCCTCGCCCGCCTGGTCCGCCAGCCAGCGTCTTGCCATGAATCCTCTCCACCCCAGCTGCAGTCTCCACCCCTCCTACCAGTCAAGATGACTGTTTCTTCTCTAATTCCTTGGTTGTCAGGCTTCCATACAGTTCAATTTTCTGGCAGTTCTGGTTATTTCTTCTTTTTAAATTTGTTGTTGTTCTCTGGTTGTGCAAGGAGGCAAGTGTATCTACCTACACTTCCATCTTGTCCCAAAGTCGCTGTGGACTGTCTTATGCACTGGAAGATGTTTAGCAGCACCCCTGGCCCTCTATCCACTAGAAGCCAATAGTGGGAGACAGCCAAAATATTCAAAATATCCAAACTAATAAAGTTATTGGTGAAAAGTAAACACGTGTCCTTTGTTTTATGGGAAAAACTAAAAAGACTGTTTGGTGAACCCAGTATTATATTTTTTGCCAATCCTGACAGAAAAAAAGTTGTAATTTTGATTCATTCACACCAGATGGCTAATGTTGTGTTGGCTGTTGTCATTTTTTGACTTAACAATCTAAGGAAATAGAGGTCTGTGCCCCTGCCTAGATAGTCAGGTATTGCACATTTTAAAGATTCTTGCAGGACACCAGTGTGCCAGCTGCAGCAAACCTGTTGAAAATTGCTGATTTAGCACAATGTTTAGAGATTCATATATGGTGTAGTATGTGGCAGTACTTTCTTCCTTTTTATGAGCAAGTAATATTCCATTGTATGGATAGCCACACTGCAGTCTATTTTATTACACAAATAACCACATTTGTGGGTTTTTTTATCCATATACCATTTGATGGACATTTGGATTGTTCCTACTTTTTGGCTATCATTAACAATGCTGCTATAAATATTCACATTCAAGTCTTCATATGAATGTGTTCATTTCTCTTGGGTAAATACCTAGGAATGGATCATATAATAAATTTAACTTTTTAAGAAACTTGTACCAATTTAACTATTTTCATGTCAAAATGCTGCTAAAGTGAAAACCTTAAAAAAGAAAACCAACAGATCTTACTTATAAATAGGACAGTGAAAAGACAACAGAAATAGTCATAGGGATATAAAGTACAGCACAGAATATAGTCAATAATATTGTAATAACTATGTAATAACAGTTCCAGGTGGGTACTGGAAATTCAGGGGAGTGGGAACACTTTGTAAAGTATATGACCGTCTAACACTATGCTGCATACCTGAAACTAATACAAAGTCATATTGAATGTAAAGTGTAATTGAAAATAAAAAAGAACTGACCCATCTTCTTTTCCATTCTTATTCATCAAATGACCAATATCATTTTGAAAAACTCAATGTCCCAATGCTTGAGTGCAAAGATAGAAGAATGCTCTATCCACTAGGTTACCATGGAAACTTTAGACAGGTACCATGGACCCAAGCACCTCCAACACCCGCAGCAAAAATGTCCTAGTATAGGAGTTCAGAAATGTATTGTAGAATCTGATCTTGGTTCTACAATCAAACCAGCCATGAACTTAAAGACAATTCAAGTGTTAGGCATCAGTATCTCCATCTGTAAAATTAAGGGATTGGACACAATAATCTAAGGGTCTTTCCAGGTAAAATTTTATGGCTTTATAAAGAACACTGTGAACTAGTGTACTAAAGTAGTCATTTAAATAGTTATAGAGCGAATTATAGAGACATGAAACAATAGAGTTATTGAAGACAGATATAGTAACCAAACAATAGTAAACATTTCAATAATTCTCCACTTGCAGCCCATAAAAATTCTTTATTCTTCTGCTACATGATATAAGCATACAGTAACACTACTGAATATATATTAAGAATATACAGTTGTTGTCAGATGACATGCCCTAATCTTTAAAAAAACTACCTATAAAAACACAACTTTAATAATAAAAGAACTTGTGAAAAGAGTAATGATAGGCAGGATTAGATTTCAGGAATATATATTTGCTTATTGCATATACAAAAATTGTACTCTATACTTGAATATAACTATTTCTTGTGATCTTTAAAAATGCTGTAGGGTACTAACTTACAGG